GATTTACTCAGTGCACGTCTGCATGCTTGATAGAGTTTGCTCATTGGGGGGCCGGGGGGGATGGGGAGGGGGGGGGGTTGAACTTGGTCAAACTAAACTAAAAAAAATTCCGGTCAATTTTCGTTTTGATCGGAAGTTTTTCCGGACAAATTTTAAAATTATTTCAGGCTCTGCGCTTCAATCGCCACTCAAGTACGCGTGATTGCATTGTGAAAGCACTACGCTTACTGTAGTATAACGTATAACATTATAAAATGGTTATACTAAATGTAACGCTTAGGTTCAATGAAACTCGTTTTCGGATTCAACTTTTTATTCTTTGCTTCTCCTATCAGTGACACTGATCTGTATTCTCACGACAAACTACGAGTATGATGCAAATATTAGTTCGTTTTTCCGATTATGTTACGACGATTGCGTCCAAGCGGACGCAGTTTTTAACTAGAGGCTGGACGCGGGCGCTTTGGAGGCAGGACGCGGGCAGAACAGACGCAAGACGCGGGCGTCGTGGAGGCCGGACGCGCTGGAGGCAGGACGCGGGCAGAGTGGACGCAAGACGCGGGCGCTCTGGAGGCAGGACGCGGGTAGACGCGGGGACAAGTTATTTCTTGGCAGTACTGTAGCTAAATATTGTAAGGCAGTACATAGATACTATTGATTAACAAAACACTGTCTTTGTCTTCGACAGCTCTGGTTTGCACTTGATAACGGTTTCTCTGGTCAAATTTTGTTTGATAAATGGTGTATTGGAATTTACAATGTGGTATGTTGTCAGCATTAAAAACGTTTTCTGCATATCACGAAGCACGTGCTTCCAACCTAATTTATTCCGTTAGAGCATGACGGAATGTTATGCTTGAGTCGAGGTATTCTGACAATCTCGTACCCAGAGCCACTCAACGATGGCTCTGGGGAACGAGAGCCACTCAACGATGGCTCTGGGTACGAGAGCCACTCAACGATGGCTCTGGGTACGAGAATGGGTATTCTGAATGCTCGACCAAAAATATTTTTCCTGTAAATATTTTCCTTATAAATATTGAACATTTCCAGCAAATATTTTCCAAATTGCATTGTTTTTCCTTTCAAAAATGTTTTAATCTTTTTATCTTTTTTAAGTCCCAGAAATAGTTATTAGGTTTAGCTAAATGGACTGTATTAATACCAGTAAAAATAACTTAGCCAAAGACAAAATAATTTTTAGACGTTTTAGATTGTTCAGTGCAGAACACGTTGTAGGTTGTTTACTGCAAAACACTGTAGAACACGTGAGAAATATTATTTTCTAACGCTCATATATTTTTAATATTTAGGCATTTACAGCATTTCCTCCGCTAGCCATTGGTTTGTTTGACAAAACTGTGTCATCAGATAGTTTGCAGAGGTTTCCTCAACTTTATAAACCTTCGCAGAATGCGGAGTATTTTAATACCAGGGTAAGAAAGCTATAGATTTATTGCCCTTGATATTCTGGAATATTTATAGGAAACATTGTTGTTTGCTCTGGATCTTAGTGCCAACCATTTCAAGTATATATACAATACATAACGTTTCACTATATACTCCGCAAATTCGTTGTTCGAAGTTCGGAACATTCGTGAAAAATTAGTTGAAATCGACTGTAATGGGCCGCATCCACCCAGTATTTTATGACTCAGCATTACGTTTGGGGACTGAAATTTGCCGCAACAATGTCGGCGACTTGAATTCGCACTTCAACAAGAGCGTATACTACAGATTCCTAAGAAATTGTCGCTCTAATCACATGAATTTTTTTATCAGGTATTCTGGTTGTGGATCGTTGCTGCTGTTGTTCACTCGTTATTTTTGTTTTATCTTCCATCCCTAGCATTAAATAACGGTAAGCACAAGATGAAGAAGTTAGTTAAAAGATAAATTTGCCGATTTCGAAGCCATTTTTTGTGCAAACTGCGATTTCATAGCTGTAGGCAAGTCTCTGTAAACCGTAATGTATAAATACTGCAGTGTGTACTAATTTGTCTTGTAAACACGCTGTGACAAGACGTGTATCGCATGTGCACCGTAGCATATTGCAGGCTTTTCGATATCCATAAAAGTCTTCAGTTTTTACATGCTAATTCTTGCAATATTACAATTTTATTGTAGATGTACCTTTCCAGGACGGTTTAGTTGTTGGAAATTGGTTTGTTGGCAATGTCGTGTACACGGTAATTTATTTGTATATATTGTAAAACTACAACATTTCACTTATATTCCTTCGTTATTAGCCTCCTCTGCAGGCATCTCTATGGATTTAACCTGCGAATGGGTGTTCGAAAAAAATTCTCACCAAACTTTTCCCGACCTCCCGGTGAGAGGCTACTTCGTTATGTCGTTTGGTTTTTGTTAAATTTTAAAAATGTTTTCATGTTGTAGCTGGTCGTTGTTACTGTTTGCCTGAAAGCAGCTCTTGAGTTAGATTCCTGGAACTTGGTATGATAATATGATTTCAATGCATGAAATTATGTTTGGTGTGTAGCTTGCTTTAGACATGCATGCTTATTTCTTACAAATTATATGTATTTTCTATTTCTAGCTTTGTCATATTGCAATTTGGGGAAGCATCCTTAGTTGGTTTATATTTTTATTAATTTATTGTCAACCATTTCTTGCGGAGTATCTAGCTCCTGATATGATTGGCCAGGTAATTTAGTTTCATATTTCTCATTTAGTTTAGTTATGTGCATTGTACCACTGAAAATTTCTGTCAACATATTAACATGACTGAGAGAATTCGTTATTTCATTTACAAGTTAAGTTTATTTTAGTGCTGTGCTGCAGCAAATTTTCTTAATATTACTCCGGTTGGCAGAGCCATGCCGGAGATTTAGAATGGGGATTTTCTGTTTTCTTCGGGTTTTTTTGGGTGTCACAAATGTGACATTCCTTCGAGGGATCGCAAGCCTAGAGTTGCAACGGTTAAGCTCCAGTAACCTATACAGTTCGGTGGAATCTATTTTCAAAATGGCGGCCACTCATTAATTTCAACTCATTAGTTTCATGAGTATCCATGTAATATATAAAGCATGAGCGGTCGATCTGTATCTAATTAAAATACAAATGCATCTAAGTAATCAAGTTTATACATTATGTCGGAAATATGGTTCGTTTTAGCTGAGAAAATCCAAGCTAAAGTTTATGTGTATCTAGTCGAAATCTCTATCCGATATACTGATATTGATTAAACATTCATTTATTTTAAATTTTCTTTATAAATTATTAATGAGCTTTTATGGGAGGTATTTTTATTCACTTGTCAAGATCAAAAGCCTAGAACGCAAGATCTTCGCACCTGAGTACTTTCCATGTACATTGTCAGACCGGTCAGATTGATGAAATTATTAAATGAAATATAATATTCTGACTGGAATATTTTGATTAAATCAGGATGTTCAAATAAGTTGTCCCAGATCTTCCCATGGCGAAGTTTCCTTCGGGCAACTTTGGTGTGACTCATTGATTTGTTTTGTTTCAGGAACAAATGGTTTTCACTTGTCCTGGATTCTGGTTTATGCTGATTCTTATTCCAGTTATCACCTTGTTCTTTGACTTCTGTTATAAATTGTGAGTAAAAAATTCTTGATTTTAGTAATATCACAGAATAGAGACCTTACAGAAGACCGACTTGACTATGATTATAACCGTTGCAATTCTGTCGCCATGTTCCTAGCCAGTACGCTTATGGGAGGCATTAACCCCTCTGAAAATATTCAAAATGGCGGACGTTCAGGGGGTGAATGCCTCTCGTAAACACACTGGCTAGGAACATGGTGAGTACGTTTTGATGACGAGTCATTGCGTGGCATTAGTTACGCTTTTTTGGATACTGTGGTAATATATTTAGATTGTGTGTATGGGTATTCAAGAAATACTTTGTGTTTTACCGGCTCTGTACCAAACTAACTTTTATATGAATGCATGGTCTTCAGTCGAAACGTCGACGTTTTTTTCCATATATTTACTGAGTATAGTTGCATCTAGCGCCTGTAAATCTGCATGCTAAGTTACATCCTTTCAGCAACTTCTTGAATATTCTTCTGGAACCCAGATTCTGTATTCCATCAAATTGTCCCTCTCCAGCGATATCCTATATCTTACATTAGCAATTCAGATACAAAGGGTCAAAGCGAAGCCACTCAACTTGTGACACTGTAACGTAAATCTCGTTTCAACCAATAAGATTAATTTAGTGACACTAAAGTCAAATAAAACACTAAAGAGTACTGTACATAATTCGAAAATATCGTTTCATTAACGAAATATTAGAGTCGCTGGGGCTCTCGCTCGTGAAGAAATGAGAGCAAAATGGTGGATAAGTTAATGAAGTTAATAATGGTAAAATGTTCAAACGAATCTCACAAAGTTCTGATGATTGCCTCCATGTTTATATATTGAAGCCGTTCACTTTCCGGCATTTGCGGTTGATATTTCAAACAAAGTAAAAATATATTTTGCTAAAATGATAACGAGTTACGATAAAATTTGACGACAAAATAATTAACTAGACGTATATTCGCCGCATTGATTCGTTGTGTTTTGTACTTTAAATGTATTGTTTAGTGTACTGTTTATTATGTTTCCTTTGCGTCATTAAAGATAATTCTTCATTTTATAGATTCAGCAGAACGTTCAGGAAAACCTTAGCGCAAGAAATTCAAGAAATAGAGGAACGAAAAGTATATTATTGTTTTTTATTATATAAAGTATAGTGCTTTATAGAGATTTCGAGCACTGATAAAAGTGATAATCTCACATGTGAGATTATTTATGATAATCTTACATATGAAAATTATCGCTTTTCAATTATCGCTTTTCTGTAAAAATTATCGCTTTCAAAGACTGTCATGTATTATTCTCTATTTATTATATAAAGTATAGTGCTCTATAGAGATTTCGAGCACTGATAAAAGTGATAATCTCACATGTGAGATTATTCGTGATAATCTCACATGTGAAAATTATCGCTTTTCAATTATCGCTTTTCTGTAAAAATTATCGCTTTTCAAAGACTGTTCTTTATATAATAAACAGAAAAATACATGGGTGCTTGGAAATACCAGATTTATTTCTCGTGTTGAACATATCTCACTCGTTCGCTGCGCTTACTCGTGAGATATCATGTTCAACACTCGAAATAAATCTGGTATTTCCGCGCACCTATGTATTATTCTCTATATATTTTGCAGTGTTGTTTAATTTGCAGTTTAGTATATCTAGGAAATCATTAGGTTTCTTAGAAAAACTTGTAGGAATGAAGCACTGTGTCATGGGGTAAGGTGGTCTACACATGTAGGATGTGTAGTGCTAGCTCGACATTCTGCTGATTGAAGCGGCGAAACATTGCCTGATCACGTACAGGTTGATTTATTAGCAAAACAACACTTTTTGCTTCCAGTTCATTGTTTTGAATAAAATTTTGATGTTTTATATCTGAATTTTCGTCATATTCATTGCTAGAATGATCCTCAATCGTCTCTTGGTCTTTCCACTCCTTCGGTATACAGGTATGAGCCGCATGTCATGACTTTATTTCTTTAATTAGCCATTCCGAAGTTGATGAGAGGACTGGGGACGAATGTTAAAAAGTGCCCAAATTAAGAAATAATCACTAAAAAGACCACCTCAAAATTAGTAAGCATACAAAGTTTGAAGACATTTACATGAATACTCTTCGAATAATAAGCTTTCGAAAATCGTGATATTTACCATGAAATGTACTGTAATTTTTGTTTTTGGGGACCCGCGTCCCAAAAACAATCTTTTAATCGACAGTAATTTCACACTTTTCGAAAGCTTATTATTCGAAGGGTATTCATGTAAACGTCTTCAAACTTTGTATACTTACTAATTTTTAGGTGGTCGTTTTAGTGATTTGGTTTATTTCTTAATTTGGACACTTTTTAACACTCGTCCCCAGTCAACTCATCAACTTCGGAATGGCTAATTGATCAGTATTGCTATAGAATCCTGAAAGTAGCGGCCCCCGAAAGTAAGTCAAAGTCAAAATACTTTATTTACCGAGGGTAAAAACAGTTTTATATCTGAATTTTTGTCATATTCATTTAGCTACTTTCGGGGGCTGTTTCTTTCTTCTGAGAGTTGCATTACTTTTCCAATGTTACAGTTATATATCAGCATCTTATTTAACAATTTTCATTCATATTTAACAGGTCGACATTCAGATCAAAGAGTTTCAAGACCCAACGTAAGCTGTTGTATATTGTAGTATTGAAATTGTATACTATGTGAGTGATAAGGGTCGCCATGGGTCTGATTAGGTTTATAATGAGCCCGGTTTCCATTTAATCGTAGCGGTCGCTGATGTAATAGAATTACATATCTCTGCAATCAGTGGCGTAACTGGCGGGTGCCCGGGTGTCCAGAGACGGGGGGCCCCCGGCAAAATTTACCATAAAATGTTTTCTAGTTCATTGGGCAAATTGGCCCGGGCCTCAGTTATTGAGAACCTTCTCATTTGCAACGGGTGGCCCCCAAAAGCAAGAATTGGTGAAATTGTGAAATTTGGACCCCTTTTTACTTTAGTAGATGGATGGTGAAAAATGTTTGTTACATTTTTTTACTTGTCATAGTCCGGAAAATTTTTTGAACCCCTTTTTTAATGAATATATATGGTTCGAAAATTTTTTGGGAAAAAATAGGGCCCTACTTAATAATTTGACGGGGGGCCTCAGGAGGTTGCGTTACGCCACTGTCTGCAATCTATTCTGTGTTGTATGCAAGTAGACTGATTTACATACAGCACAAGAAACACAAGAAAGATGCAGACTATTTGATCTCGTCGAACATGACTTGCTCACGACGGTTATTCCAGACTTTAAATCAGTGGCAGACACTTCGCGAAATCTGGGGTGGGGGCCAATTTAGGTTGCCAACATGTAGCCACAGTTTGTTCCTGGAAATCTTAGTTCTTTAAACCTTTTGGCTTATATTGAATGCACCTATTACCTAATGAACAAAATTTTGATCTAGACAAGTCTAGACAAAAATTAGCATTAGAAAATTAGTAATATTCCAGAAAATTCGTTGCGAAATAGCCCTGCGAAGTTTGCGGTTTTTCAGTCATTTTGTATTACGCGCGGGAAATTGATACCAATTTCCCGTGCGTAATACAAAATCACTGAAAACGGCAAACTTCACAGGGCTATATTATCCGCATTTTACAACATTTCGCAACGAAACGTCGGAATATTACTAATTTTCTGATGTTCTTTCAAGCTGTGGTGAAATTTTTGTCTAGACTTGTTGAGATCAAAATTTTGGTTATTAGGTAATAGGTCCATTTATAGCTTACCGAGGCTTTCAACAGTTATTCACCTATCATTTAAAGGCTTTCAGAAATTATTGGCGCCACTGCTGTACATTAAAATTTGTATTGAATTTGTGTTTAGATGGTTATGCATTCTCGCAGGAGGAAAGTGCATCTGTTCGTCAGGTACAGTTTGTTACATCTGTATGAACAATGGAAATATCTAAATGACCTGCCACGTTGCTGTTCATGAACACAATCCAAGATTCCGAGATCATCACAAAAGAAATAATTGCATGACAAATGGCAGGGATGGATTAATGGGGAGGGGTGGTGGTGCGCACCCCCCTAGCCCTGGCCAGAGGGGGTGCAGGGGAGGTTGCTATTTTTCATGAATAAATAATAAAATATTAGAGACAAAATGAGATACAGTAATTTGAGTAATAACATGATGATAAGCGAACTGTGAACAATAACTCAGTTGTACACTTGTACCGCATGGAGGCTGTTTTGCCAAATTGCCAGACACATGACCGACACAACTCGGCACCAGAGCTGGCAGAGCACCTCCTCCACCCCCCACCCCCTCCCTACCTCCCTGACAAATAGTACTTTTATTGATTGGATATATTTTTAAATACATATTCTAGATATCAAGTTTACCTAATAGAAAATATTATCACATAACTTATTTAATGTTTAAACAATTGCAAAACATAATGCATTTTGTAATGGAATAAGATGAATTTACAATAAAATGAATGTAATTTTCGGATAGTTTAGGTCCAAGGCTTTATTATCGTCCTTATAGTAAAGACAGGGTAATATCTTTCTCAAGATTCCAAGAATTAGCTTCATAAAGCGTAGTATGATAAAATGTACTACGTTTCGAGCAGTATAGCTGCTCTTCAGATACCCGTGCAATGTGGCGGTCCTGTTTATTCAGCTTTGTAACCACTCATCGTGCGGACAAGATATACTTCTTACACAACGTTCTGTCTGTCCATGTCAAAATAATCTGTTAAAATTGGTTTTTAAGGCACCAGCTGTTCAAAGTTATTTAACTCATTTTTTCCTCGATGTTTTTGTAGTAACGATTCAATCCCTTAGTGTACCTTTGTCTTTTCCTACTTTCTCTCGCAACAATCTTCACTTGATCCCATTCTATACCGTCTGCACACTCAATCATATGGCGTGCCAAGCCACCATTCTCTTTCTATTCATCCACTGCCGATTCGCTTCCTTGTGCTAAATCTCTTTTTATTGCCTTACCTGTGTGTTCATTTTTTCTAGTCTGGAGTAATCTCCCTGTCTCCCCAACATATACATCTGTTTGGCACACACATATAATTCTATAAACTACACTTCTGTTTGTTCCCCCCAACGGTCCCTTGCATCCGGACTTGGCCTCTCTTATTTTTCGCATAAGAGGTGTAGAATTTCATGTGGGAGGGAGATTATTCCAGACTAGAAAAAATGAACACATGAGTAAGGTGAGAATGACGAAGAAAGATTTAGAGCAAGGAAACGAATCGGCAACAGATGAATGGGAAAAGAGGATAGTGGCTTGGCACGCGAAGATTATGGTGAGAGAAAGTAGGAAAAGACCGAAAGGTACATAAAGGTATTGAATCATTACGACTAAAAAAGAGTTAGATAACTTTCAATGGCGTGGTGCTTTGGCAACCAATTTTAACAGATTATTTTTGACCAACAGAAAGAACGTTGTGTAAGACGTATATAATGTACGCACGATTAGTGGCAACGAAGCTGAATAAACATGACCCACTGTACTGAATAAACACCTGAAGAAATAAACACTCGTACTGTATAAATGCTCGAAACGTACATTTCATCGTTTTAACCTTTTTAAAGTTTTTAGCCTGATTAAAAATTAAAGAAAAATTTGAAAGATAAAAGTTAATTACTATTAAGGATAATCTTCAATTTATTGAACTACTATTACTACAACATATAAACTTGCGGTTACAATATTTTGCCCTTCATGCGACGGGACTCTTCCGATTTCATGGAATCGCTTAGAGCAAATAAGACCTAAGCTGATTTCTTATGCATATACTTTCAATCTATGTTTAAGTACCGTTTTAATATTAAGCATTTAAAATTTTAATGAAATCGTGTAACATCAATTATTATAAATCTCCATTTTGTTTCCAATTGATTCGCCATTTGCTTTATCTTTCATGGTTTTTAATCTGCTACTAAATCAATGTGCAACAAATTTATAATTAAGTTCTTATCTCTATTTTAAAACTAAAATAGTAATCTACTGATTTTTAAACAGGCGCAGTTAATCCGACGGTATGATACGAATCTTAAAAAGCCAGCGGGTGGAGAATAATGAAAATAGAAAATGTGAAAATTGGTGTGCGTCCTTAAGGTAGAGTGGAGTTATACCAATTTTAAATTTAAGCATGTATGAATAAACTGCATGTGAACTTAACCTACAAACTAAACCTATAAACTATATATAAACCTATAAACTAAACCTATAAACTAAACCTACAAACTAAACCTACAAACTAAACCTATAAACTAAACCTATAAACTAAACCTATAAACTAAACCTATAAACTAAACCTATAAACTAAACTTATAAACTAAACTTATAAACTAAACCTACAAACTAAACCTATAAACTAAACCTATAAACTAAACCTATAAACTAAACCTATAAACTAAACATATAAACTAAACCTATAAACTAAACCTATAAACTAAACCCATAAACTAAACCTATAAACTAAACCATAACTAATTTTTCGAACTTTGGGCGAGAGTGCAGGCGAGAATACTGTAGCTCAGTCGGAACTCAGTCGGTATAGAGCATTCATCTGGAGATTGAGATGTCCCAGGTTCGATTTCTCGCCACGCCAATGGACTCAACAAGTCTAGACAAAAATTTCATCACAGCTTGAAAGAGCATCACAAAATTAGTAATATTTCAAAGTTTCGTTGCAAAATGTTGTAAAATGCGGATAATATAGCCTTGCGAAGTTTGCAATTTTCAGTCATTTTAGATTACAAACGGGAAATGGTTAGTTACCACTTTTGTGCGTAATACAAAATGACTGAAAATTACAAACTTCGCAAGGCTATATTATCCGCATTTTACAACATTTTGCGACGAAACTTTGGAATATTACTAATTTTGTGATGCTCTTTCAAGCTGAGATAAAATTTTTGTTTAGGCTAGTTAAGATCAAAATTTTGGAAAAGTGGTAACCATTTCCCGTTTGTAATCTAAAGTGACTGAAAATTGCAAATTTCGCAAGGCTATATTATCCGCATTTTACAACATTTCGCAACGAAACTTTGGAATATTACTAATTTTGTGATGCTCTTTCATGCTATGATGGAATTTTGTCTAGACTTGTTGAGATCAAAATTTTGGTTAATTGAGGAGTGATACTACTCATTGCGAACATATGAGTAGTATCATGGTTTCAGGTAAAACTGGACCCTGCGGTAAACTAGGAGGTGACTGGCTCTCCACCTCAGCAACGCATCTTCTTGGTATAGCACTAGCGAAAAGGGAATAGAGTACGTCGCTGTATGGATGATACTGACAATAGACCCCTTCGACCTACTTATTCTAATTAATTTTGGGCATCTCTCTTGAACAAGATAGAGCGCAGTGTAGTCGAACCTCTTTTTAACACAAACGCTGAGGGACGGAGCAAACTGACCGTTTGAAACAGGGTTTGAAAGGTGTCAAATGAGCCATCGCTTTTTCATGATGACTCATTCCTAAAATTACGCCGATAATTTAAAAAGATCAATAACTAACAACAGACCTAGATTTTGTAAGGCTTAGCTTCGCAAAGACTCCCATGTCCTCTCCTTTTTGAAATTTTATGTCTTATGGTATTTCATTTTCAAATCTGCAGTTGAAGTAAACCGAATAAAGCGTTGATATACTTAAGTATAATTGCAAACTGTGTCTCTTATGTCCACAAATATATTGTACTTCTTCAATTACTTTTTAGCTGTTGTGATGACTTCACGTCGTGTAATAAGGATTATTGTATTTATTGTTGTCGTAATATAGACGACATATAGTATGTAAAATATAAATGTTGTGTTCATTATTTTAATGTACATTTGTAGTATTATTGCATGACTGTTTTTAGTTTCGGTGCCAATTTATATTTCTTGTACGTGTGCATGAGACTCGAGAAAACGTAACACGGTAAATCATAGTCTTGCACGTGATCTGGTGAATTCGAAACCGTGCTCAAATTTGGACGATTTCGTCTTTCATATGGATGCATAATAGTGGGTGAATTCGAGCACATCTACCCGTACAAATTCCCTAGACTTGCTACAAGTCGACTTGCAACGTAACGCATTGTAACTTGTCTCGCCTTGTAAGGAGTAAAGAAATTTGAGCTAAATAATACGTTGTAGCAAGTCTACGGATTTCCCTGTGAATCGTACAGTCCAAAACGCTCGGGCACGTGTGTGACGTAGTTTTATTCAACGATGAATATAAGTACATACAATCAGGTGCAACATGCACACTGGAGGATTATAAATTGGCACGATAATACTTGTATTATTTAAATATGAATATTAGTTCATTATTTAAATCTTAAAATAAATTACATTAGAAGATTGTGAATGTATTTATGTCAGTGGATACTAGCATATTCTCATCAGCTTTTGTTCTAAATTCGGTTGCACGCGGAGGGGAGAGTTATAGGAATAAAATCCGCGAACGATTGTGAGATGTAGGGCCTAAGCAGGGGACCTCTGTTGACCGACAGGGAAGGTGGGTGGGCGCTAGATGCAAAGGCTCTTTCGTTTATGGCACGGCATTCTAGTTTCATTCTAGTTTGAATGCATGGGCCGATTGAACATGGAGCCCTCGTTTACATGTGGTTTCCCACATAACTAACTACATTACGGAAACCACTGAATATTTTAATAAAATATAAAACAATGGTAACTCCAAAAATAAACATTTTAATCGTTCTAGCTTTCGACTACAGGTGTAAGATTCAGTCATCAGAAAATAAAAATGATGATGACTGAATCTTAGTCAAAAGATTAATTCATTCCTGATGACTAGAACAATTAAAATGTTTATTTTCGGAGTTACCGTTGTTTTATATTTTAACTACATTATTATTCAACTATTTTAATCAATCGGAGCCGTCCTTTTGTCGTTTTGACTTTTTCCCCATTACCTATATACTCATTTCGGAATTATCAACTTAACGTCAGGACTTATAGGACCATGGGCGTACGGGCGTAATCTTGTTTGGGACAGTATTGGTTCGCCCGACCGCTTTGCATTATGTTACAGCATATACAACTTTGTTCGAGATTTTGTCAGGGCTTTTTTAAGGATTTTCCCGTGGAGGGGGCATTTTTTGAAAAGGGACCTTTCGGTGAGGTAATAGGGAGCTTTAGATTTGACTACGAGTACGACTACGAGTACGAGATTCGTCAAGCTAAACGCATGCTGTATGCTTACGCCATCCCGTACTGACGCTAAAAAGTCGTAGCCGTCGCCCATCTGAGTACGAAATTGTGGAGAAACCTCGTAGTCCTCACGACGACTTTAAAAAAAAAACAAAGAAAGTTGGCTTTTTTTTGTTTTCCAAAAATAATTTGTAGCATTTATATAGCGTTTATCCGGCGCAAATAATATATTAGTACTAAATATCTGGCCTGTTTTTAATGTTATGACTTATTTACACGTTTTGTAGGGGATTTTAGTCAGCAGGAGATTTAGTTTATGAAACTTTTTCTCTCGTTGTTGATTTACTGTTATAAAAGCAACATTTGAATGGAAACGAGAACGACTACGGTAACTTCCTCGCACGCGATCAAATCTCGTAATCGTAGTCGTACTCGTAGTCAAATCTAAAGCTCCCTAATATATTAGCGTGGCCGACATACCACGCATGAATCCCTAGGGGGGTTCAAGCCCGGTAGGGGGGTTCAAGCCCAAATTTGCTCTAAAATTTATGCTAACTATACTTGTACTTGAAATAAAAAAGGAAAAAACGCACAAAAAATAAAAAAATTATTAAGTGGGTGGTAGAAAAACGTAACAATTTAAATCGATTTTGTTAAACAAGCACAAAAGATAAAGCCTAAAACTTACTTTCCGTTTATCTATTTGTTATTCTTTGTTTGTGTAAATTTAGGAAAAAGGGACTTTTCCAGGGGGGACACAAGGGGGACTGGGGGCGCGTGATTTTGTGGGGGCACAAGGGGGACTGGGGGCGCATTTGCCCCCGCCCCCCCAGCTTGCATGTTAAAAAAGGCCCTGGATTTTGTATGTGCTCTTATAAACAAATGAGTATGATTGTTGTATTGGGTTGTAGTAAAGTTGTAGACAATAATCTCTGCGATCGCCTTTTGAACGATGTTTTTTACGTTTTGTTAGAGCATGCGCATAAGAGCTAATATGGCGTGCGAAGGAAAACAGTGTTTTACCACTAATTACTATTTTGTAATTTTCCGTATATTTTATAATTAAAGTGAGTTGAAACCTGTTTTTCGCCTCATTTACTGGCAATCCCAGTACAGTAAAACACTAACGTTCGCTGTGGCATTCCAGAATTGTGAAGAAGCCTAAATACAAAGGAGTTTTGCAGCCCAAAACTTGTGTATTGCTTGAAGACAAATCCAGGAATCAGCCATGAATGTTGAAGATAAAAAAACAAGAAAGAAGCAAGGCTAAAATGGCGGTCACTGTCGCTGCGAGGCGTCTGATCGGAGCCTACAACAGAGATTGTGAATATGATATTTTAAAGGATTCAATGTTCGAACTTGAAAAGGTATTTGATGATTTTTGCGTTATAAATGAGGAATACGAACTTATTGTATCTGACGAAAAATACGCTGAACACCGTGTAGTTAATGGTGAAGTCATTATGACTTACAGAGACAATGTAAAAAGGTGCTATGAAGAAGCTAGGAGTGTATTTGTTAGTGTAAAGACAACAATCGAACAAAAAGCTAGACAACAAAGTGCTGGGCCTGTCAAAGGTGCCCTAAAGAATGACATTTGTAGAATTCATGAACTAATCACAGTCGTTGATGAGAGTTTCAAACTGGAAAATGTGAATATGGCAGCTTTACAACTAGATAAAAATGATCTACAGTCAATTTTGAACATAATATGTGATAACATGGTAAAACTTGGCTCGATTGAAACACAAGAGCAAGTTAACCTAATCCAAGAAGATGTCGATGCTATTATCAGAGCAGTTTACAATTGCATCAGAAAGATAAACTTGTTTTTGCATGAGCAACAAGCATTTGTTAAATCATTACACATTGAAACTGCCACTCTCCCCTCTGAAACCAACACCCCCCTGAGAACATCAACACCGTATCCCCCCCGGAGATCAACACCAACATCCCCCCTGAGGACACTGAGACCATCAACACCATGTCTCCCCCCGGAAATCAACACCAACACCCCCCTGAGAACACTGAGACCATCAACACCATGTCTCCCCCCGGAAATCAACACCAACACCCCCCTGAGACCATCAACACCAACACCCCCCCGGATATCAACACCAACACCCCCCCTGAGGACACGGATACCATTAACACCATGTCCCCCCCAGAAACCAACACCCCCCCTGAGACCATCAGCACCACTTCCCCCTCGGTAATCAACACCAATATCCCCCCTGAGCCCATTTACACTGCAACCCACCCTGAAATTATTGACACCCCTGCTATCGAGACCAACACAATTCCACCTATGTTGCCAATTAACGCTTCCCCCCTTAATTACTCCAGTCCCTTTGGCACCCAAGTTACCACGAACATTACAGAGGCCAACACCCCCTACCAACCTTACCTGGGACCAGTACGGGTTTTTGTATGAATACATCAGCTCAAACCTCCATTCCCTCTACCACCTTTCATTCGGAAAGCAGTTCCACATCGGGACTAACGCATTTGTCTCAGCAATGTCAAAATCCTACAAATTTATCAACAGGTTTCCGTCCATTTGCAATGCCAATAGGATCAAATCTGCCAAGAATGGCATCCAGCCATTATAGCAACCACAATCAGACCAGGAGCAATTTGTCAACCAGTCCTATGTATACAACCCCATCTGGACATCAACCCACAGTCCCGTTGATTAATACAAGACCTTCCCACCAAGATTCCACCATTCGGCTAAAAAGAATGGATCTACCCACATTCTCCGGACTTAGGAAAGACTGACCAGAGTTCAAGGCAGTCTGGAAGTCGATGGCTGAGTCTGCAAGTTATTATAAAACTGCATTAGCACACGAACTTAAGAACTCAGTTAAAGGAGAAGCCAAACACCGCATCAAATCTGTTTTTGTCACCAAGCCCAAAGCTTACGACATCATGTGGGAAAAGCTAGAGTGTCACTATGGAGATCCTACTGCCAGTGTACAAGCTGCTTTGGAAGATCTTCAAAGGCTAAAACCTGTAAAAGAAGAAGATTATAAAGCTCTGGTTGAATTAGTGGATGACGTTGAATCTGCCTACAGTCAATTGGAAGAGCTCAACCAGCTAAACACTTTAACAATGCGAGATGTAGACAACCTAACTGATTTGTTACCTACCCATCTTAAAGTTGACTGGAGACGAAAGGATCGTGATTTATCGTCTGCGGAGAAGCTTCAACCATTTACTCCACTAATGAATTTCCTAGACAGAGAACGTTCAGTTGTGGCTCGTTTAGCAGAGAATCAGCATTCTAAGAAAAGAGGAAATGACAATGTAAGAGGATACAGCAAAACCTATCATGTTGAAAGAGGTGCAAAACACGGACAAAGAACCTACTACAAGTGTGCCTTCCCCACCCACAGAAAAGACACCATAAATCACACTACCGAACAGTGCAAAGATTTCCAGAAGTTGTCCATCAGCGGTAAAAATGGCAGATATGAGTTGTTGAAGCAGATAAACGCTTGTTTCAAATGTTTTGGTAATCATAGGAAGCTTAACTGCCCCAAAAAACTCCCATGTTCGTCATGTGGAAGTGATCAACATCATTCCCTGCTGTGCATCCCACCAAAGCTCCCAAAAGATTCTGGGGAGAAATCGAAAACTGGAGATGATGGGAACAAGGAAGTAACATCCTATACCGTTGGAAGTGATTCAATGGCATTATACCCTATCCACCAAGCGACCATTAGCGACAGTGGTAGAAAAGTGTCCGTCTTCTGTGATGGAGGCTTTAACGCAAGTTTTATCACTCATCGTGCTGCGGAAAGAATCAAAGCAAAGAAAGTTAAAAAACTCTCTCTTGACGTGACAACTATGGGAAATGTCGAGAAAACATACAACACGTGGCAATACGAGTTTCCAATCAACACAAGTGCTGGAAAGAAAGTGACTATTACGGCCTTTGGCATGGAGCGAATTACTGGACAAGTAAGCAAACTGGATCCTAAAGTCCTGGTCAAGTTATTTCTAGAACATGATCCTGAAACACTCCAGCGAAAGTCAACACACGTGGATGTCCTGCTGGGCTGTGATAACTTCGGTCTCCATCCAAAGCAAGAAGAAGCTAGATGTGGTGACAATCTAACTATCATGAATGGAGCATTGGGGATTTGCCTCCAAGGCGCCCATCCAGATCTGATCGAAGAAACAAGATATGACATCAATCTCGCAAAGAGAACACACGACGTTAACGTGAAAGTGGAGACATACAAGACACGCTTGGACTCACATCCAGAGTTTAATCCCAACCATACCAGAGAATGTTCTGTTAATGTATCGAGTTCCTATAGTCACCGAAAGAACGAAAGCCAGATTGACAATTTTATACAAGGAGAAGAACTTGCCACCCAAATTTCTCCACAATGTGGTGGATGTCGCTGTCATAAGTGCCCTACTGTCGGACACACTTACTCTTTCAAGGAAGAACAGGAATTAAAACTGATTCAAGAAAACCTCGAGTGCGACGAAGTTAACCAATGCTGGATAACCAGTTATCCCTGGCTCGTAGATCCACAAAGTTTACCAAACAATTATCACACTGCACTTGCTACGTTAGAAAGAACTGAAAGAACGCTTAAGAAAGATGACCAATGGGCTAAGACGTACAAGAGCCAAATGGACGATATGGTCGATCGTTGTGTAGCAAGAAAACTATCATCCGAAGAAGTAAAGAGCTGGACTGGCCCGGTGTTCTATATCTCCCATTTAGCAGTTGTAAACCCGCATTCCAATTCTACGCCCGTAAGAATTGTGTTCAACTCCAGCCAAACGCACAAAGGTGTTTCGTTAAACGCTTGTCTCGCAAAAGGTCCGACAGCTACATGAACAACCTGGTTGGTATTCTTCTACGTTGGAGAGAAGAAAGAGTAGCGCTAATCGGAGATATTCGAAAGATATTCAACACGGTTTATTTGAAGGCCTTGGAACAGCATTGCCACCGTTTCCTATGGCGAGATTTACAGCAGCATCGCCCACCGGACATTTACGTAATACAACGAGTCAATATGGGCGATACACCAGGCCCCGCCATCAGCACAGAAGCTGTCTACAAGACCGCGGAGTTGTATCAAGAGGATAGTCCACAAGCCGCAAATCTCCTAAAACATTCCAGTTACGTGGATGATTTGATTGACTCACGTCTAAGTAAACCCGACGCGTTAACGATTGCCAAGGAAGCCGAGGATATCCTTGCCAAAGGAGGATTTGTTGTAAAGTGCTGGCAATTCAGTGGCGAAACACAACCTCGCGTGAAAGAAGAGTTGTTAAAATTGGACCTGCCAGAAAAGAGTGTTGAAAGCTCAGACCAAGGACTAATAATGTTAAAAGGAACTGACGAAAACTTACGAGTGCTCGGTCTGGGATGGAATCCGAAGAAAGACACCATCACCTATGAAGTAACTTTGAATTTCAGTAGCAAGAGACACGGAGTTCGAACCGGTCCAAACCTGCTAGAAAACGACCTACCAAGTGCATTACCGAATGTGTTAACCAGACGAATCGTTCTTGAGCAAGTAATGAAGATTTATGACCCACTCGGACTGATTTCTCCATTTACATTGATGGCCAAGATATACTTACGCGAAACCTGGTCCCCAAGCTCGGATGGGATGACCCACTTCCAGCAGAACTTTGCAACAAATGGTCTAATTTCTTCACTGCTCTTTCCAAACTTCAGCGTTTGTGTTTGGAGCGATGCTTACGACCTGTGAATAGCAATGGACGCCCTTGGTTAATAATCTTGAGCGATGGTAGTGATCTCGCGTATGGCTTCGCAGCTTACATTCGATGGAAATTGGATGATGGAAGCTACTGGTGTAGGTTGATCATGACGAAGTGTCGTATTGCTCCAATCAATAAGTTATCTACCCCTCAGATGGAGTTAAACGCAGCTGTTCTATCGAAAAGAGGAAGAAAGGTCATCGAGAAAGAAATGAGGTTCGACTTCGAGAGAGTTTTACAAATCGTGGACTCAGAAACAGTCTTGAGTATGATCCACAAGACAAGCACACGTTTCAAAGTTTACGAGGGAGTACGAATCGGAGAAATCCAAGCAGCAACTGAAGGAGATCTGACTTGCTGGGCTTGGATGTCTGGCCAACATAATACAACTGACTGGTTGACACGCGGCAGAGCACCAGAGGAGCTGAACAACGATTCTCATTGGTGGAATGGACCGCCGATTCTATACCGACCGATAGAAGAATGGGGATTAAAGTTTAACCCAAAGAAAGAACCGCTCCCCGGTGAAAAGAAAGCCCATGTTGTAGCAGCAGCGAGCGTAGAGGCATTGCTGATCGACTATAAAAGATTCAGCAATATCAACAAAGCTATTTGGATCGTCGCCAGATTTGAATCGTCGCCAAATCATTTGAAAGGGAACTATGGCGTCAGTTAATTGATTTAATTGATAATTTAATAAAATACCGATTTGTAACCTATTAGGTTAAATTACATCAGTAAAAAGTCTCATTATACTACAATAGAATATCTAGATGCATAAAATTATTCATAACTTCAGTTGAAAAAGTTATAGAGTTCAAATTTAAATTAAAAATATTAAAATTATAGTCTATTCATATGTGAAACCATCTGTGGAAAAAACGATTTCATAAATCTGTCCGTTTTACAACTATAGTTATTATAATCGCTTCCATAACGTGTATTATAGTTATGTTCAAGTTTAGGCGGTAAGAGGTCACCCAATTTGTCTCCATGTGCATTTTTAACAAAAAAACGTTCGCATAATAATCGCCACCGATCTTTCAGTAAGGGTATACCAGTAATACTGCAAGCTTCTCTATAAGTAGCGAATGGCAAGACAATACGCAGAGCCCGCTTCTGGAGTTTTTCGATATCTTCACTTAGGTATTCTGTAATATTGAAGTGCCAAACTTGGCAGGCATATTCAAGTACTGGTCTGATAATGGTGCAGTATACCAAAATTAGAATGCTATTGTCGGCATTTGATCGTTTTAACAACCTTAGCATATAAAGGCGTTTTCCCGCTTTTTTAACAATATGGTTCACATGCTCGTTCTATTTCAAATCATCTTGGATTGAGAGACCAAGAATTCGGGCAGATTTTACCCGCTCAATACCAACGTTATTTATAGTTAACGGTAAAAACTCATGTTTTTCTCTTGCAAAGTCAATTACCATTTCCTTACATTTGCCGATGTTGAGCTTCATATTATTAACTTCACACCAATTATAGATAACATTCACTAGATCTTGTAGTTCACTACTCTCAGTTGATGTAACTCGTTCAGCAAACGTACTGTCATCAACATACTTCCATCTATCGCTCCAATCAACAAGAAGATCATTTATCATAACAAGGAACAAAGCCGGCCCTAACACCGACCCTTGCGGCACTCCACCGTTTAACGTTTGCCAGTCCGAATGACAGTGGACAAAATGTTCATTTCGTCATGTCAACCGTCGTTTTGTCGTTCATTTGGACGTGTCAGCTTGTCGTTTCTCCACTTCGTCGCTGCGTCTAACTAATTCGTCGTTACATGTCTCACTTCGATGTCTCATTTCGTCGAGGCGTCTACCTAATTCGTCGTTGCATGTCTCATTTCGTTGTCTCACTTCGTCGAGGCGTCGTTACATGTCTCACTTCGATGTCTCATTTCGTCGAGGCGTCTACCTGATTCGTCGTTGCATGTCTCATTTCGATGTCTCACTTCGTCGAGGCGTCGTTACATGTCTCACTTCGATGTCTCATTTCGTCGAGGCGTCTACCTAGTTCGTCCTTGCATGTCTCATTTCGATGTCTCACTTCGTCGAGGCGTCGTTACATGTCTCACTTCGATGTCTCATTTCGTCGAGGCGTCTACCTAGTTCGTCCTTGCATGTCTCATTTCGATGTCTCACTTCGTCGAGGCGTCGTTACTTGTCTCACTTCGATGTCTCATTTCGTCGAGGCGTCTACCTAGTTCGTCCTTGCATGTCTCATTTCGATGTCTCACTTCGTCGAGGCGTCGTTACTTGTCTCACTTCGATGTCTCATTTCGTCGAGGCGTCTACCTAGTTCGTCCTTGCATGTCTCATTTCGATGTCTCACTTCGTCGAGGCGT